AATGTCTTTAATTGCAAAAGGACTGAGAAATAATGGCAAAAGAGACATTGGGAAGGTGTACAGGTTGACCTTAACTGGAATCTCATTTGGATTGTGCAGAAGTGGTCTTCTCAAATGGGTGACAGAAGCTTTTTTTTCCATTTTCCATCAACAGACCCTTTCCACTAAGAGTTACATGGTTTGGGGCTTAGAGATTCATCTGGTCTTCAGAAGAAAGTGCTGCCATAATATAAGAATGCAGATTCATGTAAGAGAGTGAAGGTTCTAGAGACTTCAAGCCCTTGTCCTCATCTGTCTTTTGTGTTTTTTCTAGTAAGATATGCTGTCACTGTTCTCACCTTTTATGGCCTAGAGAAACATAGGTTGGTGGTGGTTGTCGAGGGGTGACTATCATTCAGATATCAAGAAGAGGGAGTGATATTAGTGAACATGTTCTCTCTGAAAATTCTTTTGTTTTTCACCCATTAAAGATAAGCTTCTCCTTCTCACTATGGGAAATCTTCTCTTTAAATCCATTGGTAATGTCCCAAGTCCCATAATACTGAATAAAAAATCTCATGTCTGCCTCATTTGCCTTTAGAATACTGTCCTGCAAACTGCATCTACCATTTGTTCAGTATAACTATAGCTGAGAATAAAGTGGTATAAGTATTGGAGAAGAGGAAAGGTCCCACTGGTGAATTGCATCCAAATATAGGAATAGCCAAGGACGAAAGAACTCTCTAAGAACTGTTGTTTTCATGAACCATAACATTGTATCTGGGTATTAATCCTGTCCTCCTCTGCCACTAACTAGTTATGACATTAGAGAGAAAAAAATCAGTCTGCCTGCCTAAGTCTTTAAAAGTTGCGCTTATGTATTTAAGGAAGATTACAGTAAATTATTCAAGTATATCTTCCACTAGGTAAAAACGGTAAAATGGTTTAAAGGGAAAGGCTCAACAAGTGGAGATTATTTACCTTTCCTCTAAAACTCAGCAGAGATACAGTTTTAGATTATTTTACTCTATAACTTAAAGCTAAGATGTCAGGCTACTTCTTCTGTATTATTGTTGTACTATCTATTTTGTATTTTAGGGCAACACCCACATGTTCAGGAGCTACTCCTGGCTTGTTGCTCAGGGGTCATTCCAGAGAGTGCTCAGGGAATCATGGAGTGCTAAGGATTAAACCCAGGCCTCCTGCACAGAAAACTCATGCCCAGGCCTGTTGAGTAAAAGAATCTTTCCATCCATGTTCTACTATCCTTAGTCAGTAGTCTTTGATAATATACAATGACTCACTTTATGGACAGATCACCCACATTCGTTTTCCAAATTACCAGAGGAAAACGAAGGAGATGTATATGCAGTGCCCTTTCAGAACATGACCTAGAAGCAACCTATATTATCATAGTTCATATTCCATTAGCTAGAATTTAGACATATAGCTAAAAGTTGGTACATAATAGAACTAAAAATTTACACAAACATAAAAATGAATCCTTATATCTAAGATGCATTTAATATATGAAGATATGTACTTTTATTTCAGGTCACCTGCTTAGCAATTAATCTAAATCTGACAGTTAATTCGACTGAGAAGATATTCAAGCTCAGCAGTCAATAAGTATACTGTTAAGAAAACAAGAAGAATTGATATCAGGGCCAGCGAGATAGTATAATGGACAAGGTGCTTGCTTTGCATGCAACCAACCTGGGTCAATCCCTGGCATAACATATGATCCCTTGAACCCTCCAGCAGTGATTCCTAAACATGAGCTAGGAGTAACTCATGAGCATTGCCAGATTTGGCTCAAAAGCAAGTAAGAAAAAATTATAAAATTACACCTGAGACTTCTTTTTTTTTTCAGAAATTTTCTTTCAGAGAATTTTACAGAATTTTTCAGAGCAGATAAAATAGTTCTGTACTGATGCCTTTCAAAGTCTTGCTCAGCAGGTAATGGTGAATTAAGCGGTCATGAGCTTTAACTAAACAAATACTAGCTGATTGTTTCCATATGTGCTTATGCAGCTGACTACCATAAAGCAAAAATTTTTATAGCTGAAATTGAAGTATCCTAGGATTAGGCAGCAGAGTACACCACACAGATTCAAAGCCAAATCATTTCTCGACCCTATCATGTTCTAACTTTGTAACTTGATAGACCAGTGACTCCTGTAATTCTATTAATGGGCATATTAATTGCAGAGAAGGACAAGAATAAGATTTGCTAAGCTGGTGCTTATGAAGGCAATTGTTTATTAGAAGTAATTTATACGATTAACTAATAAGAACTCATCTTATTAAGTGAAATAGAAAGACTTAGTTTCGTTGTCAGGGTTAGTTTTAAAAACTAATGCATGTCCGATGACTAGCTCATGCCTGATGGTTGCAAAGTTACTTTACAAAGTTACTCTATCTGTCAGAAAATCATTATCTGCATTAATTTATTAAATAAATTTGTTCAAGTCAACCAATAGTGATATATCGCTGGAGCGATAGCACAGCGGATAGATAATTAGATAATGAAAAATTTAAAGCTCCAAGAAAGAAAAATATCAAGTAGTGTATACCAGAATTGCTTTTATTTTAAATCAGCACTTCTAAACCCGGGGACATATTTCTTAACTGGGAACCTTGTGGGTTATTCCAAGATGGGGGGTGGGGCATAAATAAAAATTACTTAAGTGGGAAAATCTCAGGGCTAGGGCGAAGGAGACGTTACTGGGGCCTGCTTGAAGCAATCAACGAACTTAAGTGGGAAACCATACCATGAGACCAGGAAACTGATCGATGGGCCATGGTGGAGGCACATGATAGAAACAAATTTAACAGAAAACATGGTCAGATAACGACACAGAAACACTATTGTAAATAAATTCTTCTCAAGATTCTTTGGACACAATTCCAACACATCCTACTGAAGCAGGATACCAAGAACAGCATCCTGATCCCAGTCTATATTTAATAAGCTTTTAATAAGCCTTTTATTATAGATAAACTGTGTCTGACACAGCAAATATGAAAGTTTCCTGATAGAGGCACAGTATCATACAGATTACATAAACAAACCTAACCTGATAAAATGCTTTAATCAACATTTTGGCACTTATGTCAAGATTGAGGTTATTCTAATCACCGCAGTCTTTTAAACCAAATTCATTTCTTTGAGAGATCCAAGGAAGCATGAATGGATATTTAGGGGGATTAAAATCCGACCCGAGTTATTAAACTATTTAGGAAAATTTGATGTACAGTTATCATTTAAGATCATCAGCAATATCCAAACAGTAGGTGACTTAAAATTCTTTATAATCTTTAAAATGTGTGATCCTCATATTATGATGATACTGAGATTAAAACAGATTAAATAACTTGATGACTGCCTAAGACGTAGTACCATGTGAAGCAATATAAAGTTCTTACATAGAAAAGTAAAAAGGAATCAGGTACTAACCAATGAAAATCCGATCTCTAAAGATCAATATCATCTTAATTCAATTTAAAGCTTACTGTGGAAATTTGAGATTGTTTAGAAGCTTCTGTCCCAATGTAAATCCTTTGAATTATGAAGTAACACAATAAAGAAGGGATATGAGCAATTTTGCAGGTGTTTTCAAACTGTAGGCTAATTGAATGTGGATTAAGTAAAGAATGGCCTAGACTGCCCTCTCTGGTATTCCTTTGGGGTAACCTTTGCCTAATTATATTGAGATTCTCATTGGATACCTTTATTACATTAATTAGTTTTTTGGGATTTTACTGTATCTCCAAGAAAAGGAGAAACAAGCAAATAAGGACCAGGTATGAATTCAGGCTTCTTTTAAGAATCTCACATTGAATATTCCTCCCAGCCTTTTTTCACATAATAGGTTAAAATGTAATCTTCAACTACAGGCACAGTATCTCTCCCATGAAAAAGTTGCTAATAACTTCTGACACAGAAGCAAGATTATAAGCATGAAGGCCATTAAAAAAATGCCCAAGGTGTCACTGTTGAAAACCCTAGAAAATATGACTCACAGGACAGTGTTGGTATTGGGTATGCAATCAGCAGGGAAGAAATTGTTTTAAAATATTCAGCTATGTAGCTAGTGAATGACTTACAGAAATCTAGTATCTCTCTTTTGGGGAGTCAGAGAGATACTACAGCCCCTAGAGTGCTTGCCTTGCATGCAAATGACCCAGGTCATTCAATCCCTGGGATGCCATATGGTTCCTTAACTGAACCTACCAGGACTCATGATCATGAGTTAAGACATAGGGATAACCCTTGAGCACTGAGAGATGTGACACGCATCTCCTCAAAAAGAATTCTTCTTTTCCATAACAATAAAAAACAGAGGGAATTATTTCAAGTTTATTTTTATGAAAAAGACAACTTGAACTCTTTATTTTCTAAAATGGCAGTTTGAAACTTGACTATCTTGCTTCAGCTCACGTTAACATCTTGTATTCCCACCTATCATGACACTAGAAGGTAGCATGGAAATGGAAAGAGTAGGTCAGTGAGTCAAATCATTAATTTTGTTTTCATTTATATCTGGGCTATAGTCACACTATATATGATTTACTCCATGCTCTGTGCTCAGGAATCACTCCTGAGGCTGTGCTCAGGCAACAATATACAAAACAAAGAATAAAACCAATATTATCCATGTGCAAAACAAACTAATTTCTGCATTATCTCTTCAGTACCAGAGTAATATCATTCTTGTGGTATTTGCTGCTCTCGGACAATTAAATTTCTCTGATTCATAATTTTTTTTCATTTGCCAGACTGTTACATCATGCACCAATTAAAAAATAAGAAAAATAATGATAGTGATCAATTAATGTAACATATCTGAGTTCTTTATTGTTCTCCTTTTCTCTTAATAGTCAGAAAATAATCAGTGAAAATAAAAAACTTAAGTTATTTGAATATCAAGCAAATACACTTGGTTACAAATCTTCATTTCAAATTTTTATGTCCACAAACACACATATACACACCAAGCATGCGTATATTTCATCCCAGTTTTCAAAGGTCAATATATTAAGAATCGTTTATCTTACCACAGTGTGAAACAATTTCAGTGTAGATGATTCAATTTCATTTGGGATGCTTCAGTCATAAGAATTCTACATCTTGAAATTATCTCCTCCCTAAATGGAATGAAACAAAAACTTTAGGAAATAGAAAAACAAAACATAATAGCTTCTTCTTAGAGTACTAATCCCAAATTCTTCATGTCAATTTCATTTAATTTCTTGTACTCAAATTTTAAAAAATTACATATTTCAAGACTCCACATTCACAACTCTATCTGATTAAACCATTCCAGAAGACACTAATGCTTGAGTTTTATAGGTACTTTTTTTGTTTTTGTAAATCAGTTCATACTCAAAGAAAATTTTTGAAAATTATTTTAAAAAAGAAAAGAATTACAAATTAAAAAGTTTCTATAGCAAAGAATTGTTCTGAAAAAAATATATGAATATCAGTTCATAACACTTATACCCATAAATTCAGTTTATAAAAATAACTGTGAAATTAAACTAACTTTAAAACTTGTGGTATATATGTAGCAAGTGAAAAAACAAAGTCACAAATATATACCATGTAATTTTTTGGCAGATTATATGTATCTGAATATGTTTGGAAATGTATGTAATAAAGTGCTTTAAATAACAAAACTTTATATTTAATTCATTTCTTAACATAAATGCTACCCCCCCCCTTTTTTCACTTTGTATACCTTGGAATGGAGGTCGGCTGCGGGGGCTAGGTCCCTTGGGGTGGGGAGGACTCTCACCCGCCCCACAGCCTGGCACTGAGTCCTAATCTTCACTGCCCAACCACTGCTACACTCCAGGCCATTTTCCAGATGCTCAGGCCAAGCCTCATACAAGAATGAAGTCCCATGGAACCCAGATTTTGAAGAACTTTGTGACTTTGAACTCTTGGACTCAACGGGACCCGGAACAGAGATTCTCTGCCTGCTTCTCCCAGTCTCCTGTGACTCAGGGATTACACCCATTAGCAACACCCTGCTGGCATCAGATAATCTTCTCATTGGCCACCCTCTAGAACTCACGGATGCTCCTCCCAGATGGGAGTAAATAAGGAGGTTCTCAGAACCATGCCACTGAACTCTGCGCCAGGGTGTGGGGTAGGTGAGAGCCCTCTCCTCCCCAAGGGACCCAGCCCTGGCAGCCAACCTCCACTGCAAAACCACTGCCACACTCCAGGCCGCTTTCTGGATCAGGGGGCCCTGCGACACATTATAAAACACTTCCTATCCACTTAAGCCTCTCGGAGAGCCTGGCAAGCTACCGAGAGTATCTCACCTGCACAGGCAGAGACTGGCAAGCTCCCAATAGCTTTTTCGATATACCAAATACAATAACAACAATAGGTCTCATTCTCCTGACCCTGAAAGTGCCTCCAATCATTGGAAAAAGATGAGTAAGAAGAGACTGCTAAAATCTCAGGGCTGTGAGGAATAGAGATGTTACTGGCACCTGCTCGAACAATTCGATGATTAATGGGATGACAGTGACACAGTAATACAGTGATACCTTGGAATGATAGAATTACTTTGGGATACAATTCGGGAAGTTTTGTAATCTCTAAAACACCTTATAACTCTAGAATTGTGTGATTCTAAGCAGAGTTGTTATTTAACAAAGCAGAACTAAATGACAGCATAGGGATTTTCCTTCTAAAATTACTCAAGTTGCTTCTATATCTCAGGTGTTTGTAGTAAGCATATTGAAGAACGTGGCAATTGAGAGCTATGGAAAATGGCTTATGACTCAGATTCTGGATAGGATGTAGTAAGCATCACCTTAAAATATTGTGTCTGAGATATTTATGGGAGCTCTATTTACTCACATCTATTTCATTTTTAGGTCAAAGAACACTATGGGAAACTTTTTTTTTAAGGATCAGAAAAGAAGAGGAGGGTCATTTAGCTCTTCCATCCCTGCAGAACATTGCAAAACTGGAGCATAAAAACTTACACAACTCAAAATGATCAGCATTAGGACTTTACCTTAAAAGAGAATCAGAAAGAAAGTTTCATACCTGATGGAAAATTATTATTTTCTTTATGGATAAGATTCTCATTTTAGAGCTGCATTTCATAGTTTCCTAATGCTATAGCTTTCCTTTGATAATCTTCTATCTTTCACAAGTAAGGCTTCCCAATTCCAGGTGGTAGTAATAAAGTCCATACCTACAGTGTTCCAATAGGTAACCCCAATTTTTTAAGATTTAAACTCTAAATTTTTACAAGGACAATGGCCTCAATTTCCAGGATGAGAAATTTCTCTTCATTTTGTTTACATTTTAATTGATTATATGTTTTAAAAAGACAGAACCAGCATAAAAAGTGGATCTGGTTAGAATACCTACTTTACATTTTACATTTACGTGGAAAATATAGTTTGTGGAAAGATATTTCGCCTTTTGTGGAAAGCTCATTCCACTCATTCATAGATGATTTTGCTCTAGAATTCTAGTTAGCACTACAAAAAAGCGACACAAAATATGTAGCCATTAAAACTATAAATGAGTTCAATCAATAGGAACAAAATAGGTAATAATGATGGATAAGTATTTTTAGAAATAGTGAAAAACTATTTTGGAAACAGAAACAAATAGCGTATAGGGATCTCCTTAGGTATTGAAGAGAAATGTACAGGAACTTTTTGTTTACCAAAATACAGTTTACATAATATTGTTATGATAGTGGTAATGTTTATTGCCTGCATGTACAAAGTCATTGCTAAGTGGGATTTTTTGGGGTTTTTTGTTTGTTTTTGGGCCAGACCCAGAAGTTCTCAGGGGTTCTTTCTGGCTCTGTGCTTAGGAAATACTATTGGTGGTTCCCAAGGGACCATATGAGATACCAGGAATTGAACGTAGATGGGTCATGTATAAGGCAAATTCCATACCTGCTGTACTGTCACTCTGCCCCACCCCCAGGAGTAATTTTTTAATAGAATGCCTATAGAATCCTGCATAAGAAGATCATCTTTTAAAAGTATCAAGTAGGATATATGGTCCTCTGGAAATAAGTATTTCCCTTATATACAGTATAGTAAGTCTCTGTTAAAATACTTCTGACATTTAACCCTGGTATGGGTTGCACTGTCTAAGATGAGACAGGAGAGGGAAAATGAATATCAAGACATAGCAATACTACTCCTGGGAATATATCCCAGAGAGGCAAAAATGTATAGTCAAAGTGACATCTGCACTTGTTTGTTCATTGCAGCATTCTTTACAATAGCCAGAAATGGAAGAAACCTGAATGCCCAAGAACAGATGACTGGTTAAAGAAACTTTGGTACATCTACACAATGGAGTACTATGTAGCTGTTAGAAAAGATGAAGTCATGAAATTTATGTACAAGTGGTACAACATGGAAAGTATCATGCTAAGCGAAATAAGTCAGAAAGAGAGGGATAGACATAGAAAGATTGCATTCATCTGGGGAATATAAAGTAACAAAATATGAGATTAATACCCAAGAATAGCTGAGATCAGCACCAGGAGGATTACTCCATAGCTTAGAGGCCAGCCAGGCATTCTAGGGGAAAGGGCAGCTCAGATAGAGAAGGGAGCACCAAATAAAGGATGTTTCTAGGATCCTCCCAGGAGGGAAGATGCATGTTGAAAGTAGACTATGGACTGAACATGTTTGCCACTCAAAGCCTCTTTTGCAGACCACAACACCCAAAAGGAGAGAGAGAACACAAGGGATCGCCCTGCCACAGAGGCAGGGTGGGATGGGAGGGATGGGGGTGGGAGGGGTATTATCCATGGTGGTGGAAAATGGGCACTGGTGGAGGGATGGGTATTTGGTCATTGTATAATCTAAACCCAAGCACAAATCTGAGTGTTGGGGTAAAATCTCAAACAATAATAGTGGGTTTGGTGTCAAAATATTGAATGTGATAAAAGTAGAGAGAGAGTAATGTGGAAATCATCTGCCCCACAGGTAGGGGAAGGGTGTAGGATGGGGGTATACTGGGGTTTTTGATAGTGGAGAATGGGCACTAGTGAAGGTATGGGTGTTTCATTGTATGACCGAGACTTAGCCCCAAAAGCTTTGTAACTGCTCTCATGGTGATTCAATAAATAAAATTATAAAAAAAAAAATTAAACAACTTCTTTTCTAGCATTAAAAAAAAAGCCAAGAAAAGAAGAGGCCAGAGATTGAGAGAAAGAGTTTTACCAGGGAAACTGCATCAACATGATGGAACATGATACCTAAGAGTACATTAAGACAGCAAACACTCAGCTTAACATGACTAATAATGGGAGTAGGAAATCAAACTACTAACAAACAAAGGTAACTACCAAGAACTGGCACCTGAGACAAGGTTCCGTACAACGATATGGAGAGCTTTATGTTGGATCTTGATGTTTTCTATCAACTGGTCCTCAGTGTTTTAGTTGTTATTATTCTACATATGTGCCATAAGACCCTATGAAGTTTCATCAAGTCATCAATGTTTACTAAATTTCAGTGTTAGAAAAAAATCGCTGGAATGTAATTAAGAAACAAACCCACGAGAGACTGTGTAAAAACAATGTGCCAGAGAGATAGGAATAAGGCACATGCCTAGAATTACAGACTAGTGGTTCTGTCCCTGGTATAACACATATGGTCGAAAAGGTGAAGGGGTTAGTCCTGAGCACAGAGTCAGAAATAGGTCCCAAATAATACCTGGTACGCCCCCTAACCCCCAAACCAAAATAGAAAAACTGCTTCAGCAGTGTAAGACAGAGGAGAAGAGAGAAATTCCTCTGGCAAACCATTATCTTATTGTCAATGAAGGAGAATGTAGTACATGAGAAAGAAATGAGCAGAGGTTATAAAAAAGTTGAGATGAGTTCTAGAAACATAAGAATAAATCAAACAGAATATATTGATAGAAAAATGGAAATAAATTAAATAATAAAAGATGTGAACAAAATAAAAAAGAGAAACCTAGAAAAGACAAGGCAAGGGAACAAAATATGTGTAAGAGGAAAAGGAATTAAATCCCTCAATTTCATAGTCGTATTCTTTCCATATTTCCATATCGCCCCCCTTCTCTAAGAATTATACACAAATTTAGCTTATTATAATAATTATACTTTTTTATT